TTTGTTCCCCCCTTGTTCCATGTAGTTACAGGGTAAATACAACATTTGCGGGCTGTAAATTAAAGTGGTTCTTGTTCCCCCCTTGTTCCATGTAGTTATGGGGTAAGTGGCTACAACTAATTGCTCTGAAACGATTGTTTGTACAGTAGGTCATACATACATACATTCTATATCAGGTAATGTATCAATAAACATGGTGGGACTGTTTTATTTAATTCAAATATTGTTTGCAATTTACTATAGGCCTACTGCTGGGTTAAATTAACCCAAAATGGGTTTTAAAATTAAAATCACACACAATATGACAACAGTAACAACACAGGCAACAGATAGCCTAATAAAAGATTAAAATGTATTACACCAGTTCAGAAAAAAGCAAAGCAACTCCATACTTATACAGCTTATACAGTTAAACCAAATACTTTTGAAAAGCTTGTTTAAGAATAAATAGATTTTGTTCAATTTGTTCATGTTTTTCACCCACTGTCGAAATTAAACTATTATGGCCAAACCGTCACGCCAATAAACACACAGTAATAAACACTGAAAGTCAAGATTAAACTGTGTATTATAGCGAACTGACAGGATTTCACCATCTTTGATTTACCGTTTTGATCCACGTCCTCAAGCACCATTTTTACTAACATTAGTTCAGTTCCCGGTTTTACCGCTCATCAGTCGCTGCTCAATGTTGTGAGAACATACTCAGACAAAACCCTCCAGTTTTAAAAGAACACATTCCAGTCAGTTTCAAAAATCTCTCTCCTCTTCGCTTCGATTAGTTTTCTTGTATTTTCGACACATATTCCTGTCATGAGTGCCGCAAACACGGATAGACTCGTCTCATGCACCATTCCAGCTGTTTCCAGTTCACGCTCACCACATTCACTGCTGCAGTTTTGAAGGAACACACTCCAGACAGTTTCAAAGTTGTCCCTCGTCTGCACTTCGATTATTTTTCTCCTATTTTCCACATGTTCCCGTCTTAAGCACCGCAGTCATGGATTTCGTCGCACACAGACCACTGTTGCCAACTCTCGCAAGACAGATAAGCAACCGCTGCTTCAAAAACAAGCCCAAAACAAGCCAAATTTTTTTAAATGATTTATTATCATCAATATTATTTATCATCAATGATTTATTACCAATAAATGAGCCTGCAACATATTAAGGCTACAGGACTACTTGTTTTTTATTACAGCCCGTGATAATTAATACATTACAAAAACATTGTAAAAATCAAAAAATAGGCTAAAAGAAAGTCATCCCACTCCTCTACGTCTACTTCTGTCATCGCTTGGATTACAGCATCACGGCACGCGCCTTCTTTTTTGAACGTGATTTTCTCCAATGAGGGGGTGGAATATTTGGCAAATTACACTGCAGCACTTATATTATTGCAATGGTTGGCTATTAACTGCGAGAAGACAGAGTGTCATTCAATGCATTGGAGAATACGGCGAACATAAATA